TACTAATTACACGTTCGATTCACAACCAAAAGGAATACCAATCTGTAATTTAAATAGAGGGCTTCTATACATGATCTAACATCTTTCGAAAACTTTATATAGATCAGGCAAGTTTGCTATCTGCAGTATTGTTGTATCATGTGCAAAGTGCTTAGGGGGAAGTAAACTCTCTTTAATTGCAGAATATAAAACGTGTTCTGTAATGTACCTCCAATCATGAGTGTTATGTACAGGATTCATACGACTGTAGTACATTGCAGTTTCTCTGCAAAAAGTTTTGAAACAAGATTGTTCTGCTGACCACTCTACTTCGGTAGCCAAACGTAGTATATACAAAGGAAGGCCAGCTTCATATGGAAAATACTTCTCTGAAGGAAAAAAAAAATAAATGATCTACAATATTTTAGACACTAGTTTTATCAAAATATTTATACCTAGTAGAACTGGCAAGGATTTCAGGTTTCCCTTCTTGTCTATAACAACTGAAAAGTATTCCTTCAACATATCTGCTTTCTCCAATAGAAGTTCTTTAACACTTGTTGCCAAGTCTTCTTTTTTTCCATCTTCTTCTGTCCAACCAGCCTCACTACTCTCCAGTCCTAACATAGCCAAATCATATAAAGGAATCGGATCCTAGGAACAAGTAAACATTAATGTACAATGCTTGAGAATCTTTTTAATTTCGGTACTCATAAATCCGATAATAAGAGTCTAAGCTTAATACTCACGGAGAATTTAATAACACCATAGTTTGCAAAATCATAAAGCATAATTTCGTAAAACAGTTCCTCCCTAAAGTATAAAAGTATCTAAAATTATTTGTACAACTTCTAAACTATATTTAAAATAGAATGAATAGAGTTTATAATTAACTTACGCTAATTTCTTTGTGTTGCAAAGATATAAATTCACTCCACTTTGAATGAGTGCAAAATGTTCATCTATGCAGCCAACAAAAATTAGGTCTGACAAAATTTGTTTCAATCCTTCGTGCAATTCGTCTTCTACTTCTTTCCGCAACCTTAACACGCTCGTTAATTTAACTTCCCTTCTGAAATTATTTATCGTATAAGATTTAAAATCATGACTACTTTTAGAGTCATCATTCTTATTACTACAAGATTCCTTTGGTTCATTAGATTGATTGTCAGTCTTGTTATTTATTTCCGTTTCTTCTTTAAAAACACTAAACTTTTCTGCAGGTTTCTTTCCCTCGATCGTAGTATTGGATCTATTTGCAAAGTATTTTAACACATGTTCACGTGCTTTAACCGCTACTTCATCGATGCATTTTTCTTGCGTGGAATCGTTAACTGTACTTGTGTTATTTACGTCTTCAAAGTTATCTTGAATGCTGTCTACATTTCTCTGGTTTTCATTGTTATTAAATGTGGTTGAGATTATATTATCTGGCTGTACTAATTCTGATGATGTAGATTGATTGGATTCATTTATTATATCACTCCATGGTGTATTTGGTAGTTCTGTACTTAATTTTTTTACAGGTGACAATTTATTGTCAGTATTTTCATTGGATATTGAACATTGTATTTTATCTGTCTTTTGTTGATCACTGTCGTCTTTATCTTTAAGTCTTGTGTTATACAGTACATTTTGTTCAATGTTCACTTTGTCAATTGAAATATTATTTTCAAATTGTTCAGGCTGTAAACTATCATCGATTCTAGCATCTTTCGTAGCTGCGTGAATAGTGAAATTAAACTTATCTAATTTTTGATTGGATGAGTCGGTTCTAATCATTTCCTGAGGACGAATTTTCTTTGTTTTATCAGTGCTTTCCTTCTCATATTCTGGCAAAACTTCTTTCAAAATTTCTTTCGTAATATCAGCCTTTGGCAACCTTGCTTGCACATAAAATGTTCTGGAAGCACTGTTTCCAGATAATTTCTCATCCAGAGCAAACTTCATTCTTTCAATGATAGAATTTTCATGTAAAAATTTAACTTCATGTTTGGTCGGATGTACATTTACATCAATATTTTGTGGATGAATGTCCAAAGAGATATAACACCATGGATGGGTTTTCTTTGGAAGATAAAAAGTGTAAAGTTCTTCTAACATCTTCCGAATTGCTGAAACAAGATACTCGTAAATTTTAGTTACAAAAAAATGCGCGATTCAACATTGTGAAACTTACATGAGGATTCAATCAATCTATTGTTAATGAATAAAAGAAACACCATTCTTTTATTTGTGTAATTCGGATTTGTTATTAATGCTTGCATTTTGAATTTGTAAGTCTCATCTGTATGTTCAACTTCTAATAATTCTCTGAAGACTGGATTACCATAAAGTATCCTTATATTGTTCATTTTTGTGGAATTATGGGGTGTACGAACCTAACAATGTAGCTCATATTAGTATAATAACATAAGATTGAGATTATTATCTGAAGAAAATACCTGAGGGGCTACATCACCACATTTTTTCAGTGAAAATCCTACAGCAGGATTATGTATTGCATATTTTATTACTACATCTGTAATTTTGTTAAACTCCTCAGTTATGTTTGATAGAGCCTTCCTTCTTGTTGCAACATTATAGAATAAATTTTCTATTGTTATTGTAGTGCCTTGATTTCCAGCACATGGTTTTGGTGGAGCTTTTAGTTTGCTGTCAATATATGATGCTCTAGTACAAAATGAACTCAATGAAAGAATAATTTGAATATGACGATTTTGTAATCATAACTTTTGTCACAGAATCTACATACTTGTATGCACATTTTTCATCAGCTGTTTTTGTCATAATCGTTAAGAGTGCAATGTGACTCATACTGGCCAGAGCTTCTCCACGAAAACCAAAAGTTAATATGGATTGAAGATCTTCGAATGTTTGTAGTTTACTTGTTGTAAATCGTTCACAAACAATTTCCATGTCATCTTTTCTAATCCCTGTGCCATTATCTTGTATCTAGTAAAATAACAGCGTTTTTTATAATCGTCTTTAGATGTAAAATATACTAATAAGTACCTGTAATAATTTCAAACCCCCTTCCTTAGCAAGGATTTGAATGTTAGTTGATTTTGCGTCAAGACTAAAATGTTTACGACGAACGATTGTTAGTGACGAATCATACGAGACAGTATATGGTTTTAATGTCTAACCTGTTTTCGATTAATTCTTTTAAAGCATTTGCTGGTCTTTGAATTACTTCGCCAGCTGCAATTCTATTTACCACAACTTTATCCAATTTCTTTATTTTCCCCGGTGTATTCATATCAAATCACGTGTGTTTCAATCTTCGTCAAAATAACAAGAAAATACTCTGTGACTGAATGTACTGCGATAAATTATACTGTAACGTAAATAATTATAACATTACGTACAATGCATAGTAATAGAATCAGATATAAAATGAAGAATAATAATAATGAAAATTAGGTAGAAAATGTGTTCTCTTTGTAATTTAGCTAGAACTACAACGTATTACATTGTACGAATGAATATGTACATATATTTCATTTTCGCGCCAAAATATGGATTGTAGTAACATAGTAATAAATATGTAGTATAAATAAGGTAAGAAACTACAATAAGAGAGCAATTGAAGTATATGAAAGTTCACAATTCTGTACTTTTGTATTGCATTTATATCCATAATTAAAATGGTTAATCATTTTACGATGGTCATGATCAGTTTGAACATTTATTTTAACGATGTTGCATTAGTTATTAAATGCCCTTAAGTACATATTGCGTGTTAATTATCGTATATCATAATGTTAGTTAAGAATCGGTAATTTGTACCATTTAAAAGTGCTGTGTCGTCATTTGTGATAAAATATCCAAGCAAATTAGCCAATTAGTATCACATTATTACCGCTAGATGTTGCTACTATTTCAACTTGTGAAGAACACATATACATAACCTGTTGGCGGAAAGACACTGTATAGATGATCTCATACACGTGCTAAGAATTTGAATGACAAAATGAAGCAATGTAAACTTTGTGGTGGAACAGATTTTTATAAGGAAGCAGGATATTTTTTCTGTCAAACATGTCAAACACAAAACGAGGTATGTCATTGTCATTTTCTTTCTTAAAAAGTTACATCGTTAACCTTTTGCACCTTTATACAGGACATTAGAGAGGAAGTTCTCGAATTACGAATAGATAATTCAACTAGATTACGAAAAACAAGAATCAGATCATTGAAATCTCAGAGCTCAGGTATAATGTCATTTTTTGTCTCATTTGAAACCATAATTTTTAATATTCTAGAGTAGTTTGTTGACATACATTTTGATTATCAGGTGAGGAACTCGGATGGACTTCATGGGAAATATACAATTTCGTTTTAATTGGACTGACAAATGAACTGATTGAACTTGGAGTTCCAGCTAACTTAAAACTAACAGTATTGCAATTGTGGGCAACATATTTAGGAAAGTTAGAAGTAGCATTTATTTCAAGAAAGAGGAAATGTGTGCCAAAATTGGCAAAGAGATACAATAAGAGGGATGCGGAAATTATTTATGGTAAAGTGCAATTACAAAGAAGAAAGAGAAAACGTAAAAAGACTGGAAGTAGTACAAATACCTCAATGATGTCTGATTACCAGAGTGAGGGAAGTTCTATGCGAGAACTTAGTAAAAATAAAGTAATTAATTTCTATAATATTTGATAAGGAAGTAATGTAACATTTGCATTATAGTATACGTTATTCAAATTTTTTCAGAGACTATTAGTAAATGCAGATTATGATAGGTTTCTTCAGTCTCAAGCTAGTTCAGACGTTGAGGGTCTCAGTACATTCACTCAGAGTACATATAGTGTTCAGTCTAGTTCGGGAAAGTCTTCGGATAATGAAGGAAGGTTAGTGCTCCTTAAATTGTTTCTACAAACAATTATTATAATATTGTATACTTCTAGACTACAATTCAGTTCACATGCCAAAGAGGAAACAAGAAAAATTAAAAAGCTGTCCAAACATGTACCTAAGAACAAAAGAGTTAATTATAAGGCGAAACATATAAGTACTCAATACAAAATAGGACCTCATATAATTACACCTATGAGGCTGTGGGCTATTCTATATCTTGCCCTTAGGATACATAATCAACCTATACAGTTAGGAGATATGTTGAGGTATATAATAAGAAATATGTGCATTGTTATTGTTCTTGTTAAGTTTTGTTTTTCGGTTATAGGTACGGTAGAGAGGGGCATTTATCTTACTATAAACTAGACCATTTATTGCCACCAGAAGTCTCTTTATCAAAGAGCGAAATTCATTTTCTGACACCAAACGTGGAAATTACTCATAGAGGAATGAGACGTCTCACAGCCAGTATGGCTAAGTTTCTTGGTGTTTGGGAGGTAGTGTGCCCGGATTTTTTGCCTTTGGTTAATAGATACTGCCAAGAATTGGGATTACCAAGTACATAAAATATCCATTATTTATATGTTTTGAATTTATAATTTGCTTTTAACGATATTTTATTTTCAGGAGGTATACAGCTGTACATCGAACGATTGATAGCTCTGACTGTTCCAAAAATGACATTCACCAAAGAGAAATCACATATTCCAAACTACGAGGGTCGCGCAATGGCATTTATCATTGTTGTACTGAAAACGTTATTTGCTCTGGACGATATAACTGAGTATCAAATTAGTAGGATATCAGAGAAGATCAATAGGTGAGTGAAAAAAAAAATGAACGTCTATGTGCATGTCAAATTATCTTTCATCTACTGAACCTCAAAATCTAGAATTATATTATCAGCCACTTTAAGAAAATGCAGCTTGAAAATTATTGTTCTCAACTAGAATCGCGTAGACTGTACGCGAGTAGTAGATCAAATAGCATAGATAAAAGATTAAAAGTCAGAGGACATAGATGTTATGAAAACAGTTACCCCTGTATAATCGTACATGGTGGTGCAGGGGATTTCAATAATGATATAATCGTGGAGAAAATGACAGGTTGCAAAAAAGCTGCCATAAATGGATATAAGAAATTATTAGACGGCCAAAGTTCAATAGAAGCCGTAGAGACTGCTCTATGGTGGCTGGAATGCGACGAGTTTTATAATTGTAGTTATGGGTCTGTATTAAACGAAAGAGGTATTGCAATCTTAAAACTATTGATCATATGGCAGCTGCATTACAATGACGGAAACATATTTGTTTACACACTAATGCACCTAATACAGGGCAAGTGCAAATGGATGCAAGCTTGATGGATGGTTTATTATTCAAGTGTGGATCGGTAGCAGCCGTATCAGACATAGAGCACCCTATATCGCTTGCAAAATACGTGTTGCATAATTTTCCAAATGCACTTTTTGTGGGTGATGGTGCCAAGAATTTAGCAAAATATGCTGGTTTAAATTGGATATCTGAAGGGAATATGGTAGCGCCACTGGCACGATTAGCATTAAAATCATCAGAAGGGGAAGAAGAAAATGATATAGATAATCTAAGTTTACTGGGGGGCGATATGTTAACAAGTAAAGTAACTGGAGAATAGAACCTAAATCACATTCATTTATATTTTAAGTGAGGACGTGCAGACGGTTTTGGGACCATCATAATATTTGTTTAATTACTATTTGTAGACAGTTCTGACACCGTTGGTTGCATAGCATACGATGGACGTAGGATTGCTGTTGGCAGTACTACAGGTGGTATAAACAAAAAGTTGGTAGGAAGAGTAGGGGACACTCCAATATTGGGTTGCGGAGTTTTTGCAACGAGGAGTGCAGGTTGCTCTGTAACAGGACATGGGGAGACTATAATGAAATTGGGACTATCGCGTGCCATTGTAGAAGACATTGAACACGGTTTTACTGGGGAGGAGGCTCTGTATAAACATTTCTCTTTTATGTCCCAGAAATTTGATAAAGCTGGTGGCGCGGTTGTGTTCGAATCGAATGGTCGTTGGGCTACTTATTTTACTTCTGAAAAAATGCCGTACGCGGTAATAGAAGACGATGTAATCACGTTCGGGGCTAGAATACATGAAGAAAAAAGAGAAATGTATGGCGCTGATACTTTCAAAAGTTGCAGCTGCGAATGTCCTGTTGTAATTAAGTTCACAATGTGGAAAACAAAGAGTCTTTGCACGTCTTACGGACGAGTTCATATTTTATGTTGCAGCATGGCTATTCCACTGGGCCTGTTGAACGAAAAGTTATTTAGTTTTCGAGAATGGCAGGATTATGTTGAGGGCAGGAAAACAATACTAACTCATTCGCATTTTCCGACGAGAATCAAGTACTGTCCAAACACTAACGGCGTAGATGACTTGTACATAAAATTTCTGGAATTTGTCACTTCTAAGGCGGATAAGAAGGAGCCAGACGTTAAGAATTCGAAACACTGTTTATCGGAGGAACTCGTTCAAGCCATGACCAAATATATTGCTAATTTAAGTTCCAACGACGATACACCCAAAGCGATAGACATTTTTCCGCCGTCTTTAACTCCGCTTCATTCGTACTTGCAATATTTATTGGACAATCCTCTTTACGACATACCCGCTGTCTTTAGAAATGATTTTTTCCTTACGAAAGTGGGCTATATGACTAAACCCGAATCGTAAGTAGTTTGAGACAATTTTTAGGTGTTACAAATGATCTATTTATCAGTAATATGAACAACAATTATATCTTAATAGGAGGTACACTGATGTTTGCTTAATTTTCAGTCTTGTCGAATTAGCGATGCAATGCGGTATTCAATTAGATATTGTAGACTCGCGTTTGCACTTTATCGACAAAATTGTTCCTCCCTTTGAACAACCTAGAATGCCGAGTGTTGATGAAATGAAAGAGCTGGTCGATGTGGAAAACGATACTACGCACGAGCATACGGAGAGAAACGAAAATGTGAGCGATTACGTGTACAGAAAGATACCATGTAAAGTAGCGGTCGACATTCCCAAAGAATTGTATTACAACAGTATTAGATCCACAATAGAAAATTGTAACCATAAATCAGAGGATTTTACATTTATGGAAACATTACCGGATGGTAGACTAGCAATTCCCGACGACAGCGACAACGAAGAGGAGGAGAAAAAAGCGAATCTGGCTCAGAGTATTACCGAGGAAGTATTAAACTTAGAAAACAAGTTTTATAGTCGATACAATTTGAGCTTAACTACTGCGGAAAAGGAGGCCATACAAAATCCACGCATTAACGACAGGATGTGCTACGAGGAAGAAAAATTACAGCTTATGAGAAACAGCAGAGGTCAATTCGTTAAAAGATCTGTCTCAACCGTGGACCATGAAGAACGAGGAGAGGATTTTTTCTCCGTTTTAAACAATTTGAGTTTTAATAGCAGTGTCCAAACGAATGCCAAACAAGATAACTTATTGTTGAAAAACGGTATAGATATCAACAATATAGATATGGACAACATGGACATAGACAACGATTTTCTAAAACTGGGCGAATCTTTTAATCTGAGTCAAATTTCTTTGCGTCTAGACGATTTCGTCTCAACACCAAAATCAGAGAAAAAGTCGTGTGTGAACAACAATAGACACCATTTTTTAAGGCCATTCAAAGACTATTGGATGTATCATTGCGTTTTCAGCCGCGTGAAATCAAAAAATTTTGCAGTATTCGAGAAATCTTTGCCGCGAAGCTTTCGTTGGCTGTTGAATGAGTGCGCACTTGCCGTGGAATTGTCTGGGGAAGAGCTCTATGAAGAAGTATGTTTAATAGAATCGTATCTTGCATACCTTTCAAAGAATCCGCACAATAAAGACAATCGCAGTGGCATGGATCCGGTATCCAAAAGTCAATTGAATCTCATTTTAAAGAAGTGGTGAGGTACACAATGTAAGATTGATTGCAGCGAGCTGTGATGTACAGTACAAAAATATATTAAATCATCATTGTCGTCTTCCTATATTATTTTATTGAGGTCTCCCCTCTTTTCTTCAAAAGTCGCGGGCATTTTTAATCTTGGCTAGATTATATTACTATTTTATTAGTACAATCGAAATGGGAAAATAATTTATTAGGCGAATTTATCGAGTAGAATTTCAATTAAATTTTCATTAAAATTTTAATCGTTTCCAATCGTTAGGATGAATAGCTGAATAAAATAATGAATTGCGAGTGGATCGATAGTCGATTCTGTGGGTAACACGTCCCGAGCGCCATAAAACTGGCCATCGATAAGTTACCGATCGCGATGAAGAGCTGGGGAAGCCGAAGTCACGCTATAGTTTATGGGTCGGCCGTAGATGAGCGTGCAAATCGAGCAACTGTTGCACTCTCGCGTAGGGCCTCTCGGCGGTTCCCGGTGTGCGTGTTTCTCGTCCCGAGCGAGCCTTGGGCTCGAGGGGCGACGGACCGTTCCGTCAGTAGTAAACACACCAGCTGGCGTGAGGTAGTGTCGGATGGCTGTCATCATTCCACGGTCTTGCTGTCACGGTACGTGGACCGTGTGTACGATCAAACAGCTTTGTGTACGGCCCGGCCGCGTGTGTATCGGCGATCGGTACCCGGGGAGCTCGCACGGGATATTCGTACGTGCGTGCGAGTGAAAGACAGTTTCAATTTCGATTTCAGTTTCGGTTTTCAAGTGCATCTGTTGTCGTCCGCGAGACTGCCAGCTATCGAGAGCTGATCCAAAAGTGCACGCCGTTTCTTTTCTTGCTTTCTCGCGCGTTCGTTCCACTCGACATCACACCTGCTCACCCGCGGACGTCCTGGTCCAGAGTATCGTTCGAGAGAGAAAGGAAAAGAGAGGCTGCTCCGTCGAGACCCTTCTGTCTGGTGCTGTCGCGACTTCCTGTTATTATCGTAAGTCTATTTCGAATTCATTTGAAATCTACGACGCTCGAAAATTGCATTCAACAGTGTACCATCCGGAATGCTAGTTATTTAGGTATATATCGGCCCGTGTCCCAAAGATGCTTCCGGTTCGGTAATCGTTTGTCAGCGTTACTTATTACAAGTGCTACGCAGAAGGGTTGCTATGGGATTGTCGTGCAATGGACGTCGACGGAAGATGTTTGAAACGAGAGATAGGGATCGGATGGACCTCGATGTGTTTACGATGTCGTTAGAAATATGACAGTATGCGGAAAGCACGCTCGAATATTTCGAAAGCGGGCAAAAGATTGTCGATCATTGATTGGGGATAACGGGATATAGAGTGCGTGTCCGTAAATCGCGACGTCGTCCCTTCGAAACCGACAACTTCGTATTAATCGCGTTACATCGCGACGCGTTGGATACATCGATCCCCCTTTCCAGCACGTAAGCACTCACCTCGGTTATCATCATGGTTGGACTTTCTCGAATTATATTTCGCGGGCGAATCGAACGTTTCATAGTTTCGATAACCATTTTTTCATAAGGAACGCGAAAATTCTTCGGACGTTCTTGCGAGTCAGAGCGTCGTCGTATAGGTATTTATTAGACGGGATGACGTTTTGAAGATTTTCATGCACCGCGAACGCGTGAAGTCTCGTAGACTAGATAGGAGCGATGAGACGAGATGTGGCTCGGCTATCGTGTCTGGTCATCGCGGTCCGTTTCTACTTATTGCCGGCAGAAGAGCGCGCGTGACGAAGTCGTTCTCGATAAAAGTATTTGCTCGTTGAAACTGCGTGTCACCATTTTCAATTTGATTCTTCTGAAAAATCGTCACCCGATTTTCAATATTCAGTAGTTCATATTTAATAGTAACATGGTGCAGCTTTCTCTGTACTGTCGTATCGATAGTTCGATGGTACTCGTCGAAAAGAAATGTGTCGACAGTTTGATTTATTAGAAGCCCTCCGGGCATGCTGATCGGGTTATTTATGTTTTCTGTCATCGTATAGATCGGTTTCTGTAAAATTGATGAACTTGTGAGGTAAGAGTAGTAAATAGGTCGCTGCATAGAGAAGACCTGAAAAATACGTAATTACCGTTGATTACCGTTGATTACCGTTTCGAACGACAATATCGAAGAATATTTCACCCTGAACCATCCTCGTGGCACAGCCCATGCATCGGAAGCACCTAAGTGCATTCTCCGCTTCTAAATAATCGTTTCCTTGTTTCCCTCTCGGTCGCATATACGTTTCCCTGGCCATGACAGCCGGCTACAAAAATATATGTATATGTATATATATATATATTATTATATATTATTATATTATATTATATATATATATATATATAGAATATTATTATTATTATATATATATATATATATATATATATATATATATATATATAGAGAGAGAGAGAGAGAGAGAGAGAAGAAAATTTCACTTCCTCTTTCGCTCTTGAGTCTCACGTTTTTATCGCACCACCGGCGCATAAAGAAAAGAACGAGCTTACAATTCAAGGAAGAAGCAACATCGGATCGGAGACATTCGTGGTTTCCTGGATCCGAGATGATACCGGGTCGGTGCAGGTATTGTAGGGGCTTTCGGATCGCGAGCCTGTGACCTTTTCGACAAAATTACGGCCGGCCTGTGGGCGCTCGTTCAAGCTTCGATATGTATGGACCGATCCACGGGAATTCGAGTGAACACACAGATATCGATATAATACCCTGCCGACGCGTTTCAAATTGAAACTTCGTCGGCTCTGCAATAGTTCATTACGTCGTTCTCCCATTAAATGTGAGAAACGCGAGAAACGAGCAGCTCGATACCGTATAGAGAAGAGGGTTGGACTGTTTACAGTTTGTGCGACGAACGCATGTCTAATCGACAACCTAATCGCCGTACCGTGGCAATTAGAATTTTTTTAAAAGCCTGCACACACACACACACACACACACACACACACACACACACACACACACACACACACACACAAAGGGTGGATGCCAAAGGTTCGCTAAAGTATCGCCTAACCCTGATCGGCGAGGAATTCTCCGGCAACGGAAGAGACGATGTGAAAACAGAATGGAACGGCGAAGGGCTTGTCGGTTGCGCATTGAAAAGTATCGTTCCCCGCGTAATGAACCGTTAAACGGTTCGTCGAACCGTTCCCTTCGACGAGCGATCACGCGTTCCGACGAACGTGCATCATCGATTGCACATTGTTAACAGGATGAACGTGGTCGCGGGCTGGGTCGGGTCGGGTCGGGCCGAGCCGTGCTGGGCTACATCGCTTTTTTCCCCTGCAAGCAGCCAACTGCGATTGACCTAAAATAAAAGGAGACCGCCTGCTTAATGCTAGAACCAACAAATCCGACCGAACGACGGATTTCGGATCTTTTGTTTCGTTATATTATTACTATTTTCATGAAAGAAATTCCCTGTAATTTGTATAGTAGGGGAATTTGTATAACAGGCTCCTTTAGGAATTGATGAGGAATGAATGTTTTCTTTCATGAAAATAGTAATAATATAACGAAACAAAGGATCCGAAATCCGTCGTTCGGACGGATTTGTTGGTTCTAGCATTAAGCAGGCGATCTCCTTTTATTTTCTCCTTTTATACAAATTCCCTGTAATTTGTATAGTAGGAGAATTTGTATAACAGGCTCCTTTGGGAATTGACGAGGAATGAATATGTTTTCTTTCATGAAAATAGTAATAATATAACGAAACAAAGGATCCGAAATCCGTCGTTCGGACGGATTTGTTGGCTCTAGCATTAAGCACAGGCGATCTCTCCTTTTATTTTCTCCTTTTATACAAATTACAGGGAATTTGTATAGTAGGGGAATTTATATAACAGGCTCCTCTCTTTGGGAATTGACGAGGAATGAATATGTTTTCTTTCATGAAAATAGAACATGATCCTAGACGATGTTGCGTTCGTCTCTCGCGCTACCGACCGGTAACGGTTCTGTTCATCGGCGTACGTTGTGGATGTGGATCAATTGGCATGATGAGCGATATTAGTCTTTCGGAAAACAAACGATCCGGCGCCCTCCGCGTCTCGTCGTCGGCGATCCCACCGGAAAATCTTGGTGGGGACGGTCTCGGTTAATTGGTGCAGGCAGTTATCGGTGGATCGTACCGGTTAAACGAGTCGCGCGCGTTGCATCGAGTCGCCGAATCGTTTGCCTCGGTTCGTCGGCGAACGTTTCGCGTGACGTGTCCCAGCGACGATCTTGCCGGGCCACGGCACCGAGCAATTTGGCCGCTGTGCAACGTCACCCCCGAAAGGTAGCGCAATCCGCGCTGTTTCATTTCGCCCTCCACGCACGAATTTCGTCGAGCACGGAGAAATCAAAATTCACCGCGATCCCTCTGTCCTCGAATTCGCATACGTTTCCGTATTGCATCGAGCCGCGCCGGCTCGTTGGTCACCGTGTTTACAGATTCTTTATCGGTCGTCACGGTACGTGGTTTTCGGCAAGGTAAGCTCGGCGTTAACCTTTTAGGCACGACACGCCACTATAGTGGCTTTCGCGGATGTCATCTCTCTGGACGACGCGCCACTATAGTGGCTTGCTCTGGTAGCTCACACGCTCATCGTTTGAACCAAATAATCGTCTTCATATGCATTGTTTCACACTTCTTTTGTCTTCGCATCGATTTACAACAGTCTACAGGGTGTCCGAAAAATGTCTCGCAATCCGGAAATGGCGGGTTCCTCGGATCATTTGAAGCAACTTCTTCCTTTACAACAATTTTCTCTGAGGCACCGTTAACAAGTTATTAACAAAAAACAGTGACCAATAAGAATCGAGTACGGCTGACGCGAGACGGCCCAGCCAAGCAGCGCGCGAAGCCCAGTTCCGCTCATTGGCTCGATCGCCTCGCGCCAGCCGAGCTCGCCTCTAATTGGTCACCGTTTTTCGTTAATAACTGGTCAACGAAGCTTCGGAGAAAATTTTTGTAAAGGAAAAAGTCGCTTCAAATGGCCTGAGGAATCCACCGCTTTCGGATTGCGAGACATTTTTGGGACATCCTGTGTATACAGACAGAATATACAGTA